CATCCCTTAAGTTTTAATATGCATTTTGATTATATTTACATTTTTATCCATTCAAAATTATTTTCAGTTTCCATTGTGATTTCTTAACTTGTTTATTTTTGTTTGTTTGTTTAGCTTTCAACATTTTCTTTTATTCCCCCTATCTTTTACATTATTATTATCACGTATTTTTACTACTACATATCTCTTAAATCCACAGGATATGATTATGGTTTATGTGGTCAATATTCACTTACATTGACCCATCTATTTCTTTTTCCCAGTGCTCTTTTTTCCTTCCTCAATTCTTGTGTTTTCATCTGGGATCATTTTATTTCTCTCTGCAAAACTCCATTTGTATTTCAGATAGTGCATGTCTGCTGACTAGGAAGTCTCATTTTTGTTTGTCTGAAATATTTTTATTTTACCTTCATTTTTAAAAAATATTACTGCTCATTATAGAATTCTATGCTGGCAATTTTTCCTTTCTGCACAATATATCATACTGCTGTTTTTTGGCTTGCAACTGTTAATGTTAAACACTTATATCTGAATGTCAACCATTTGAAGAGGATAAATCTTTTTTACCTTTGCTGCTTTTAGTATACTTTATTTTTGAATTTTAGCAGTGCCATTAAGATATGCCTAGATATTTTGTATTCCCAGACCTTCTTGAACCTGTACTTTTATTTCTCTTGTTAATTTTGGAGAATTGTTAACTAGAGTCACTTCGAATATTGCTTTTGTCTATTCTCCCACATTTCTTTTTCTGAGATTCAAATTACATGTTAATGCTTTTTACCATGATCTATATATTTCTTATCATCATTTCTGTATGTTTCTCTCCTGTTATTTCTCTTCATGCTTCAGTAAAGATATTTTCTAGTTTCTCTTTTTCAAGTTAAATTTTCTTTTGTTGCATCTAATCATTGACTGATTGATTGATTGAGACAGGGTCTTGCTCTGTCTTCCAGGCTGGAGTGCAGTGGAGCAGTCATAGCTCACTGCAGCCGCAAACTCCTGGGCTCAAGATATCTTCCTGCCTCAGCCTCCCGCATAGCTGGGACTACAGGCGTGCGCTACCATGCCCAGCTAATTTTTTACTTTTTTGTAGAGATGGGGTCCTCCTATGTTGCCTAGGCTGGTCTCAAACTCCTGGTCTCAAGTGATCCTCCTGCCTTGGCTTCCCAAAGTGCTGGGATTACAGGCCTGAGCCATCCTGACCAAGTCTTCTAATCTATATTTAAATTTATATATTAAGTTCTTAGTGTCAGTTTATTTTTCATTTAATTAATTTTAAAGATTTTATATTTATAATAAAATTTATTATCATGTCAAATATTTTCATGAATGTATTAGTATTATTATCCTGGATGGAGCTGGAGCCCATTCTTCTAAGTGCAGTATCACAAGAATGGAAAAATAAGCAGCACATGTACTCACCATTAAATTGGTACTAATTGATCAACACTAATGTGCACATATGGGAAATCGTAACATTCATAGGGTGTCAGGCAGGTCGGGGGAGGGAGGGGTGGGTAAATCCACACCTAATGGATGCAGTGCATGATGTCTGGGGGATGGGCACGCTTCTCAGATGCTACAAAGGCAGTTTATGTAACCAAAGAGTTTGCACCCCTGTAATACTCTGAAATTTAAAAAAAAAGTAGAAAATTTAAATATATTTGAAATAGGGAATTTGGATAAAAATCTGGATGTTTAGCTTCTCTTAAAAAGTGGGATGACTAGGGAAAAACGATTCTGTGTCTCTGTGTGGGCATCATCACATAGTGCTAAAGAGTTGCTGTCTCCTTGACTTGAGTCTTCTTGACCCTGAGACAAAGTGTCTTCTGAAGGACTGAGAACATACGATGACACTAGATTTCCAGAATTCTTACATGAGGCCCCCTAGTTATATGCCTGACAACCATAGGCAATTTATTATTTGACTCCAGATGAAACAATTTAATACTATCTTTAGGTTGTTTATCTTTACTTCTTATGTAGGCCTATCGTCATCTATATATCCCTCAGATGATGGTGTTCCTATATGGAAAAACAGATAGGAATTGCATTATGAAAGGCATTCTTCTCATTCTTTAACATCTTTCTAGGAGACTTCTAATGCCAATGTTTATTTTTCTTAATTAACAATTTCCCAAAATGATTGTGGATTTGTCTATTGTGCTTGTAGTTCTGTTTGTTTGTGCTTTGTATATTTTGAGGCTGGTGGGTAGGCACATATAAATTTAGAATTGTTAACTCTTTGATGAACAAAAAGAATTACAAAGCTTTAAAACTTTCAAATTTTCTGCACCTTATCTTTTAGATGTCTTTGGAAAATTGTATGTATTTGAGTTTTATATTTTTAATCCAGTCTGACAATCTTTATTTCTTAAGTAAAACATTTATTCTATTTACTTGTGTTGCGTTACTGATACGTTTGGGTTTAAATCTGCCATATTTTTTTTTTTATCAGTTCTACCTTTTATACTTTTATTTTCAATGTCCTTTTTTGACTATTTGATTTGATTGAGAATTATTTAAAATTCTGTTTTCCCTTTCCTGGCAGTTATATATCTTCTAATACTTTTAGTAGTTTAGTGTCATCTAGAAATGACAGCCTTTATCCTTAACTCATCAAGGACCAATGTTAATTGGTACTTTTACACTCTTCAACCTTTAGTTTCTTTAAACAAAATTCCTGTTCTATATTCTGGATCCACGAGTTCTCCCTCACGCAGTGTTGGGGTCTGTCTAAATCTGTCTTGGTTGTTTCTGCTTTCATTCCCGTTGTCTTGCTGTGTTCTTGATGATCGTACACTACAATCTTGTTGCTGCATCTCAATCTGTGGGACTCCCGAGGGCCTGCATTTGGGGTACTTTCTTCCAGAAACTACTTGTGTCTGCTTCTGCTGGATGCCAGGGGTTAATTTCAGAGCATTTCGAGAATCTCATCTCAGCGTGAGAAACCTTGTCAAGGCCTACAGCCTCACTGATGCTCACGCCTCCTCCCACTTCGGCACTTGAACAGCCTCAACATTCAAGGTGACTCCATCCCTCTCTGCCACCCAAGTCTCCCAGCTGCAGGAAACATTTTCCCAGAGAGAGAGATTCCCTGGAAAACCTTACACTGTCTTGGTAATACAGGATGCTCTAAGAAGTGTATTTTATCCACGGTCTATTTGTTTGGCTGCCAAAGGGACCCTTAGTCCATCATTTTGAAAGAAGTGGTAGCAGCGATTTACGGTATTGATTTATTTCCATGGGATGAGACGAGAATGTCAGACAATTGCTGAATCAGCATTTCTGTGATAGAAGAATAATGATGTTTCATATCATGATTTATGCTACACAATCATCTCATCACTGTATAAATTGATGGAGGAGACAAGTGATGTATATCATCTTCGGCTATATATAAACTTTAGTTTGTGAAATATGTAATATTAAATATGTATATTTACAACTTTAGGCTTGATGGAGGTGCTACATAATTATTTAGCTTGTCACTTTATAAGAGTACAAGATATTTGTATTTTCCTCTTTTGACTTTTTTAAAGAGATCAGTTATTTTGAGCTGAGTTGTTAGATGCAGTGTTCAAGTATTTTGAATATTTTACTTTATTTTTGTCTTCTTACACTACGTATTATAGACTGTGATATTTGGGATAATTGCATGACACTAAATATATAAACATATAGTTGTCTATAGGCACACATCAAGATGCACACGCAATACTCTTGTGTGTGTGTGGGGGGTCCATATACACCTAGAACGAGCTCTATTTGGTATTTGGCAGAACGTTGTAATCTGGTTTAGGCCTCTGATTTTTCTTTCAATGGGTAGTATCTAACAAAATTAAAGGTGTGGCAACATTTAATTTTTTTCAAGTTTAAAATTTTATTTATTTTAATAAAATTTGAATTATGATAAATTGGTGGTTGTTAACTGGGGGTGATTTTACCCCCCAGGGGACATTGGCTTTTTCTGGAGACATTTTTGGTTGTCACCTTGGTGGTAGGGGAGGCACCACTGGCATCTGGTGGGCAGACGCCAGGGATGCTGCTCAACATTTTATAACCACAGGTCAGTACCCGCAACAAAGATGGATCTGGCTCCAAATGTCAGCAGTGCTGAGGATGAGGAATTCTGCTCTGAATAGATTATCCTTTTGATTTAGTTGATATAAAAGCCATAGCTTTTAAAGGAAGGCCAACTGACAACTGTACAGATGGACTGGGATTCTTAAACTTATATTTAAACATGGTCAAGCTGATGTTTTCAACATGTATAGTTAGTTCTTCAGCATGATCAAACCACACTGGAAAGGTCACACACTGGGCAGGTGCTGGACGGCCACAACCTGTCTTCTCCCAGTGCCTTCCGCTCAGATCCAGCCTGGGTCTCAGAGCACCCCCTCCTGTGCAGACACCGCGGTGGCAGCTGAACACAATGGCTCCTGCTCTTCCATTTTCTTTCTTCTGATCTTCTTTCCTACCTTTCCCTGGGTACAGTTTTCTGAATCTGTCTAATACTGTGAAAATAGTTACATGCCAGTTAAATAGACCCTTCCTTTCTCTGAAGGTTATAGAAACCATGTATTTTCTTTTTATTCTTCTTCAACTGTGATGTTTAACTTTAAAGAGGAAATTGGTAATGCAACTTACTTGAAAGACCTATATGGTGTGGCATTCCATTATGTACGATTGAACAGTGCCCTCAGACACAGATCTGAAAGAGATTGCCTTCCATTCAAATTTAAATTTAACATGGACATTACCTCAAATCAGTGAGGAATTTCTGCCTCTGCTTTTGGACTCTCTTCTCCACGAATCTTCCTTGTGCATATATGATAGTAAATTATTTATAGACTATGTATTTGAGTCTGATCTTTTATAAGAAGCAAGAGTCTGGGCCTACCTTATGTTCACTTCTTTTCATTTTAAAGACATTTAAAAAAAATCTTGCATATATTCTCAGTTTTAAACTGATTCTCACCATACATTCTTTCTTCTAGGCTTTGGCACATCTCCACTTAATAGAATATGTCGGAGAACAGACTGCTTTGCTAATAAAGGTACAATAAGTGCTGCAATAGAATGTGCCCCAGCCATTGTGCTTTGATTTTGTTAAAAAAAATCTGTGAAGAACTGGTCACATTAATTATGTAAAAAGGTACAGCAGGGAACCTATTTTATCCTGTGTAGCCTAGAGATGAAGGGAAAGTTTTTTTCTCAAAGAATATATAATTACAGATGCCTGCTATTTTGCTTTTAGCCCTTAGTTAAAGCCTAAGGAGAGCAGGTGACACTGTCTCCGTAAATGAACTGCAGATGTCCCGACCCCACGCTCTGCTGGGCCATGAGGCTGGTGTGGGCACCAGATGTGGTTGAGGGGTGGGATCTCACTGCCTCCCTCTTCACAGGCTTGTTGGCTTGGGTATGGCTGGAAATTGCTCCCAGCAGTTACTTGCAGAAACCCAGGAGCTTGGGCTCCTGGTGTGGGTGTGGCCTTACTTTGCACACCTTGTCTGCTTTGGTCTTGTTATGTGTAAGAGCAAGGACTGACATCCCTCTGGTCCCCTCTGAGTCTCACCTGTCATAGGATTGGATCCTAAGTGCACGTGATTTAACAATGCAGCTTCTATTATCTGCTCTTTCCAGATGGTCCCGGAGGACCGGCGCCTTGCAGCCGCCATCATCGTGGTGGTCTGGGTCTCAGCCTTGGCCTCGTCCTTGATTGACAACATCCCATTCACCGCTACTATGGTGAGTCACACGTTTCTGTGTGTTGAGGACTCAGCTTCATCCTGGACATAATCTAGGGTTTACACTTCCTTCCTAAGGAAGCAGAGAATGAAACCTGCCCTTTTGCCATGCTCACAGGTGTAGAGGATGAAATGGGGGCAGAGCTCAGGGCAGCTGGGCAGGGAGTACTGAGAGCCCAGATGGCAGGCAGGAGCTAAGGGTCTGCAATCATGGTGGATGGTCCGTCCTGGGGTTACTGATTGTTTAGGGGTTGTCCCCACTGAAAGCTTCCACCCCTCCCAGAAGACTGTGAGACACCCAAAGACAGAGGCTTCTACCTTTATCCCCTGTGAATGCAGAAGCTGTTCTAACCAGCCTGTGCAGTTTCTGGTGCTTGGCCTGGGCAGGATTTTTAATTCTCTGTGTGGTCCTGAACCTCAGCTGAGACAGGAAGTACACAGAACAGGCTTTTAATAGGCCCAATGAGCCCTATTCCTGGTGTGCTTCTGACATCAGGGATTGCTCAGCTCAGAGCAGGACCTGAGCCCTGGTGTAGCAGTGTAAAGGCAGGAGCAGCGGTTTGCCTAAAAGAAGCTGGGATCCTGTTAAAAACACCTGCAGTCCCAGGTGTCCCAGGCATGGGGAGAGGAGCCTGGTGAACACCCCTCATGGCAGGTTGCTGGACAGAGGAGTTCTCTGTTCTTGTGATCCTGCAGGCCGCCCCTTTCCCCATACAGAACAGCCCATGTGAGGGGGCTCCCGAGACATTCCATCACCCTGTGTCACAGCTGGAACAATGGGACGCCAAGGACTGGAGCGGTGAACTCGCTGTGGGAGGTGGGGGTGGGCCGGCTCTGCAGCACTTCCCCCACACAGCACAGACCTTGGGGGACCCGGGAATCTGTCTCCCTCAGTAACAGCCTAGAGTTCACAGTTCCTGCCCCAGGTGACCCTCTAGTTGCCTCCTGGCTATTGTTCTCCTTCCAAGGTCTGGGTTTGGTAATCCTTAACTAATTCTGTGGCTGTGTGAAATCCCAAATTAGGGAAGTTGTGTGGCTGTTGTCAGATGTCCTGGTTTTGGCTCAGTGGGCTCCACCTCTCCCTGAGTCTTTGTGGGAGCTGCCCATAAGGGGGTCCTCAGCTCCCGAGACAGCAAGATTTGTGTGCGCACGTACCCTGTTCTCAGATCAAACAGAGTAGACAGACTTAGTGCGTCTTAACTGAGCAAGGCCACAGGACCCGGGATTGAGTAACCATCCTTGATCTCTTCCTTCCGGCCCCACGTGGTCACAGCTGAAAGGCCCCACCTTCTGTGTAGGCGTCAGGGGTTCAGGACCCAGATCCTTTTTGGGACTGAAATGGAGGAACCCTAGTGTTGGAAATTCAGGTTGTTCCATTTTCTAAAAATTGGACACTTTTCACATTTTTGTTTCCCAAATTTTAATGGCTACTTAGATTTTAACTTTAGAAAATAAATCAAAGGAATCAGAGAAGATAGTACTACAAATATTCATATGCTTACTACCCAAAATGAGGAAATTTGAACATTTTGTCCTCTTTGCCTCAGGGTATCTTATTTTATTGTTAAGAAAGAAAATATTGGGATAAACATGAATTTCTCAGTTCCTCCTCTCAACCCAGGGTTGTTTCCACCTTCCCTTCTCCTGAGGGCACTATCCTCATGGATTTGGGTCATAGCCATTTATTCAGTGGCTCAGTGTCAAGGGGCTGTGGGAAGGATCTTGGTCCCTGTGTGTCAGCGTGGGCAGAAATCCAGTACAGAGGGACCAAAGCAGCACCATATGCATATGCTGACATGCAGCTTTGTACAGCCCATGGATCTTCATTGAGTGACTGTGCCACATCAGCACATGTCCACAGTGGCTGCATCAGAGGAGGGACATGGAGAGCCACTCGGGGTTACTGCCTTAGTCTGGAAGTGGCACCCAAGTGACCTCCATAGCTCTTGGGCGGGCAGTGAACACACAGCATTGAGGTACCTGTCACTTTCCCATACTCCTTTCTTCCCTCCTTTCCTTTGAGTGTCTTTTCACCACTTTTTTTTTTAGCTTCATTGATGTATAATTGATACTCAAAAAACTGTACATATTGAATGTATACATTTTGATGAATTTGGACACATGCATCCATTGTGATACCATCACCACAATCAAGGTACTAAACATATCATCAACTCCAAAAATTTCCTGGTATTCTTGTGTCTGTGTGTGCTTTGTGGTAAGAATACTTAACGTGAGATCTATCCTCTTAACATACTTTAAAGTGCACAATACTCTGTGGTTAACTGCAGACACTGTGCTGTTCTCTAGAACTTACTAGTGCATCTCTGAAACTCTATACCCATTGGCGAGCATCTGCCCATCTCCTCCGCCCCTCAGTTCCTAGCACCCACCATGCTACTCTCTGCTTCTGTGAGTTTGACTATTTTAGATAACTCACGGAAGAGGAATGGTGCAATATTTGTTTTTCTGTGACTGGCTTATCTCACTTAGCATAATGTCCTCTAGGTATATACATGTTGTCACAAATAGCAGGATTTCTGCCTTTTTAAGGCTGAATAATATTCCATTGTATATATACAACATTTTCTTTATCTGCACATCTGTTGATGTATACTTAGGTTGATTCCTGTGAACTAAAATACAATCTTAAGGCTCCCTGCAACCGGCTAACTGAATGGACCCCCTCTTGGGCAAGGGGATATCCTAAAACTAAATTGCCTGCCACAAGGAGGGAGGTCAGACATGCCTCATTGTGCCCCCTCCCTTCTTGGAGATATCCTATGTAACCGATTAACAGATCTAAGGATATGCAAGACAGACCTGCAGGTCCTCAATTTATACAACAAATGTATGTCAGGCGGCTTGTCTCTGATTGACAGACCTCCTTATCTTAAAACATTCCAAGCCTTTAGACAAAGCTTCATGTCTTTAACCAATTAGAAGTCAAAGAATCTTTAAACTCACCTATAACCTGTAAGCCCCCCACTTCCAGATGGCCCACCTTTTCGGGCCAAACCAATGTATGCCTTCCACATATTGATTTATGACTACCTGTAATTCCTGACT